AAGGCGCTTAAAACATTAACACAAAAAGCTCCTATGGTATCATTCAAATGGCACAACTTCGCCACGTGTGTTAGACTAATCATTGTAAATACTTAAATGTTTCTACCATGTTTTCAATGACAACATGAAGCAGGTTATAGTTTCTCGTGAGCAAGTCATCCTTCATTTGCTGGAATGTGGATCACATGCATGTTGAGACTGGCTCATTCAAAATATTTATGTATTCCAATCCAAAATCATGAATCAGATATTTGAGTTCTTTCCAGACAGCTATTTATTTTTGACTGTTTGCACAGTCAACACTGGAGGAAGAGGTTGTGTAATAATAAATCAAATATAGTATTTGCTGCTGAACTCTTGAATCCCTGCACATTTCACACCTAAGCTCCTCTGTCCAGTGGTGAAAGTGGGTCATTGTTAAAAACATGCTTTACACTTCATTTGGAGACGCAGCTTTTATTCATATTGGATTGAAGTTATGTGTGATCTTTGCCATATTGTGCAATCATTCAGCCTTGTACTTTGCTTATATTACTGTCAACGTATTACCTCATGAAGTCACCTCAACTCAGCAATGCAGGGACACAGGAAAGCAAACTGAGAACAGAAATAGACCACTAAGTCCTTGTCAGAGGAGAACCAATGCAGAAAACAAGAGACTGCAGCTACGAGATGAAATAAACCTCTGCTGAATACTGGGCTAATTCCTATTTCCTTATCATTAAGCTGGCAGAAACACTGAGTCCATCCAGCCGAGACACACTCAGTGTGACAGTCTCTGAATCATCTGTAGAGGCCCTGTATGCGGTCTAAACATACCGCGCCATAGCTTAGGCATGCTGCTCTTTTTTCCTTCACAGCTTTACCGAGTTTCAGTTTCCAGCAACGCTGTTTATAAGGTGTCAAAGTGCAGTGAACAAGGCGGGGGCATGTTACCTCAAAGAATGACAGAATAGCAAAGATCACACTGTGTCTGTGAATCTGTGCATTAACGCACACATAACAAAAATCAATACCAACAAACAAAGCGTACACCTACACCGAACACACATGCACACAACCGAGGTTCGTGTGTGAGCGCTGGCCTTTAGTTGGTTTCAGCCTGAGAGGGAGCAGGGAGCTGGCAAGACTCCCTGGTGGCACTGGCTGACCCACTTCTGTGCAACTCTATCCCTAATGTGACCCGCTGTAAAGCCAGAGGACACACACATACGCAAATACATACCCATACACACACACACACACAGCTGAGATTGCCTGAGAGGACTGAGAGAAATAACTAAATGCTGTTTATGGCTATCTTTCTCTCTCTTTTACTCAACCTCCTGTTTTCTGTTTCTCTCACTTTGTCTGAAGACCAAGCATTTAGGTCTGTGTTATCTCATCTAGCTAAACTACATCCGGAGTGTTTCTGGAATATAAATGCAGGCTGCCAGTTTCCAGACAAAAAGTCAATCTAAGCAAACTAAAACAGAAAAAGAAGCTCACTTTTACAATAAAAAATAAAGATAAGAATATAAATAATGCCACAGGGGTTGTTTCTTGCATGTCCTACCTATCTCTCTATCCCAACAGTTCCTGTCACTCTTAACTGTCTCTGCTCTAATAAGGATAATAAAGCTTTAAGTTATGTCAATGCACATATCAAATTATGATATCTTTGGTAAACAAATCTGGTTATTGCTGCACTGCCACATTGCTAAAACCCATTAATGCAAAGTGTGGAGATAAGTCTCTCTGATGCGTGCCGTGATCAGACGACATTATTAAAAACAAAATCCAGTAAACAAAACTCAGTAATCTGATGACTTACTGACAGCTGAATGTGAAATGTGTTCTTGTGAGAGAAGAATTTGATTAAAGAGACAACTTTAAAATAAACAAAGACATTTTGTCGGCTGGCAAAGATAAGAGAAGAGGTGTCACGACGCTTGCGCTAGTCTCTCTCTACGACAATACGTGTTTAAATTTAATTTCAAGGTCTAAGCCTTTCAAGTCTGGTTAAATGTTTGTCTATTATTTTTCCTTTAATAAGAATTTTAAGATTAAACATAAACAAACAACAATCCATAAATCTGTCAATCATTTGATAAATCACTTATTTTTTTTATCTAAAAAATGACTGGTACGATAGTCAAAATTGCTCATTATATTTTGTCTGAGCTCAAGTTGATGTTATCAAACATCAAAAGCTTGTCCTGAATAATAATACAGAGAAAGGAGACAGGGACAGCATCAATAGTGGGCTATTTTAGCTAGATAAATGACTAAATGATTAACTGCTTCTCTTTTGTAAATAAAGTAATTGATTAATTGAGCAATTCCTAGAGTACTGGTTGCATTTCAAATCACTGCTCATTAATTTCACATGTCTTAAGTCTTAGATTTAGGTTGCAGATTATCAGATGTGATAAACGGCATAACAAAAAGCGTGAGTACGAGAAATTCAGCACACAGATTTGTTTCTGTGCTTTGCAGCTAAAAATACCTAGCAGCCACTCAGACAAGCATATTGCTCTGCTGCTTATGTCAGGTCTCAGTGGCAGGCAGAGGCTTGATGTTCCACTGTCTATTTATATAAGCGTCCACATTACAAAGCAGGGTGACCTAAGTTTTGGGGTTGACAGGAAGACGATATATATGAGCTCTTCTTCTTGCAAGCTATGTGTCCAGTGTGTGTACATGCATGTGTCTGTTTGTGTGTGTTTGCATGTGTGTCTGATCCGGCCATAGTCTGGAAGGAGGAACAATGGCATTCCTGTGCTCTGAGCTCCAGGTGGCTGTGGAAACCCAATCCCAAACCAAGGCTTGCTGGCACACAGAGTGCCGGGAACGCCGAATGCTGCTGCCTCTCTCCGGAGACATGGGCCAGAATAGAGCTATTGTTCCTGAGCAGCTCGGAGCAATAAATGCACCACAGCCACACTCTATGGCGAGCACATACATTCATAAATACCAATACACACCAACGCGATGGATAGCAGAGATGTTTTACCTTTACATGTTTCACTTTCAGTTTAATATACTTAATAAAATAATAATTAATTTCTACAAACACAAAAAAATGTAAGTAATCTTTTGTGCACAGGCTTTATAATTGGGAGTTTTGTACACATTAAACTAACTACATTCCCAAGCATACTATTATCATGATTATTACCACCTGTATTTCCATTACACAGTGGAAGCACACACAACCTTATACTTACACTTGCCCTCTATATGAGCTCAAGCCACAGTGACGTATCTTAACACACAAACATCTTTGTAGTCTTATACATGCTGAGGGCCCTCAATCATGTCATTCATGTCTCATACAAGAACCTAATTTTATCGTAATCTAAATACTCACCTTTAACTGAATTTGTGTATTGAAGATTGGCCAAAATGTTCCCAGTTTGCAAAACTCCCAAATTAATGATGGAAGAGAGGGACACATAAGCAGGCACATCTGCTGAGGCTTGAATACACACTCAACACACACATAGCAGGAAACGCATCATGCCGACTCCACGGCCTTGAATTGAGGAACATGATTCATTTCCTTCCAATGCTGGACAGTCATGCCTTAAAACAGGGTTGAGTTCAGATATACAGCTCTGAGGCTGGGTCACGAACATGGAAACAAATCTGAAAAAATGCATGTGCTGAGAACTTAAAACATATACAATTAAAGGCAACAACCACTATATTTTACGATTCTGACCTACATGGTCATGTCAGTGCTTCCCTTTACGTAGTTTAACTGCACCACACAGATATTCCTGTGATCAAAGCAATTAGCCTTTGTTCAGGCAACTTGGGACCAATGCTACAGGTAGCAGAAACAGAAGCTTCCCTCCAGCTACACAGGATCTTGTCCTACTGCACACGTACTGTACAGGCAGCCACACACACTGTGAATAAATAATACATGCTCCTCTTTTCCCTCCCTTTAAGGAACATGACAGATTAATTTAATTGGTTCCCTGTCTACATCTTCATGTGCTCTGCTCAGCAACTGAAGGCTCTTACAGGCTTGATAGTGAATACATTTTCTTATCTCTTGAGATAATTACAGCATTGTTAATGCATGCTCACTCATGCACGCTCATTCTCTCCTCTTTCATTCACTCAATGAGTCTCTTCACACACAACCAGGCCACGCATGCTTTAACCAAACCCTATGAAAACGTCTCTTATGATTGAATTATATGAAATGTGATTAACCTCTGTTCAACTGAGCAGGAGGGCCCTCAGTATCTGCAGCCATACAATGAAGGAAAGCGGTTTCATCTGGCCACTAGTTATTTACCTCCTATATGCATCAGACACAGACAAATCATACGACCTCTATCAGGACACAAAAGACACAACAAGCAGGGGTTAAATACCAAATGTGCAGCTCGTCTTTCCAGGTTGTGTTGCAACACTAAGAAAGGTTCAGAGAAAAATGAGGAAACGTCCACCAGGAAGAGAGTACATACAGTCCATATAGCAACTATTATTCCTTTAAAAAGGGTGCTTCTATTCATTTTCTGTATGGGTGGTTTGCTTGTAAGGAAGTATATCTGATAACTGTCCTAACCGTCATTTGTATAGACCGTTAGAAAAACTCACTGCAGTCAAATGCGGCATGTGTGGGATAACGTGAACCTGACAGTGGCCCATTCACCACAGCGACAGAGTAGACGCTAACGTAGGATGAAAGTATGAATGGGGGACGGTTTTATCGACAAATGATCCGTTCTTTTATGTAACACACTTCAGACCGGTTGGGTATCAACAATGGTCGAGTAAATAGAAATGAAGTAAAGTGAAAATATGTGTGTTTAACGGTGACTCGCATCCCATCCCCGTTGCTTGGCTGCTTCTGTCAACAAGAGTCCCTCAACCATAGCGCCAGTCTGCTGCTGATAGATAACGATAGAGCCTCACTGCCCAGAACCCAGCCAGCGTTTGACAGTGTGCCTGAAAAAACACAAGTATACCAGTGTAATTCACATGTAATGTTCGCTTACCTTTGGGGACAGGGCACCTCCTTCCACCTCTGTGGCGCAAGACACCGCAGTCTAGCTACGAGGCAGAAAACTGACGCCAGTACGGTACAAAGTATCACAGCTAAGTTAGCGGGCTAGCTAGCTTAGCGAGCTAACGATGGGGGGAGTGTGGTCCTCTCCGTGTCGTCGAGAAAAAAAAAACGAAACAACCAAGCCGGGGATGATGTGTTTCTCACGTTGAATGCGGCCACAAGAGCACCGTCCAGTGTCAAAAGGCGGTATAAGGGGAGACATCCATTAGGGAAGACCGTGAATATGATAACGGTTCAGCCGGGAGTAACGCTATGCGCTGCGGTGTCTCTCTCCGGGCGGACGCGCTGCCTCTGCCTGCTGGCCTGAGAGAGAGAGGAGCTCCGCTGCTGATGTGCGGAGCAAACAGAGGCAGCATCACTGCTGCTCATCCCTCCCTTCACTACCCCGACCCGGAAGAAATACTATTTCTGATCCCTTCCTCTTTTTAACATCGTCCAAAAATGTAACAACTGCAACAACATGCTGAGGATCTATCATTTGCCAACAAACATAATGATTGCAGTGTTTGATTTAATATAGTTGCCAACAGGGCCGACCCTAGACTTTTGGGGGCCCTAAGCGAGCTTTGGCTTGGTGGCCCCCCTCACTCTAGCGCGTTCTCACTACACACAACATGGAACCAACTTTTGTCTTATGATGTTAGCATAAGCACACATATTGTATAAATAAGCATGTAAACATCGTGGACCTAACCTCCTCTAGGGGGGGGGGGGGGGGTCCGGGGGCAAAATATTGAAGTTAAAAGCATCAATCTGGTGCACTTTGAGAGCAACATTAAGAGATCTATGGATACATCTCTCAACACCCATATGAAATAGAACTGTAAACAGATTTTTCTTTATGGATATTTTACTAATCACTCCCCTTTTAAACTGTATTCTTGTTTTGTCATATAGTATTTCATAACTGTTTTTCATGTATTCTCTCTGGCTGTCCATCTCATAATGTTTACATATAAACTAGCTGTCAATAGGAATATCATTCAGAAGAATTATAATTTCATGCAAAAATCTGTCACAAAAAGAGGTTGCACATTTAAATTCAGGTGTTGTTATGGCAACGTCAGTGGCCAAACAGCCACATTTACTGATGCAAATACGTTCAAACATGCTGTCGACACGTAAAGCAGTGGCAACTATGCCACCATTTCAGCTGACTTTTTCTCATAAATACTGTCACATAACATCCATATGTTTCAGTGCTAGGTTGATGCTTAGCTAAGCTAACTATGAAACACTTTAACTGACAGGAGGACTCAGGATCAACTGTGTACTGTAAGGTAGCTTCTAGCTTCATGTCGAACAGTAAGTCAACTTTTTCCAGAGAGCTTTCTTTGAAATCACCAGGTAACGCTAAAAAACATTACATTTAGATTGTATGACAAAGTGTTTATTTAATATATCTGGCTAGCTATAGCTACTTGCTAACGGTTTAGCTTACCCCCGCGATTCAAAGTAATGTCAACGTAGCTGTAATTTATGCTTTGCTTACATGTTCGCATAACTTGGAAGTTTACTGACATTTACATACCTTGTTCACCTGGCTCAAGTGCTGGCTCTGGGGTTGTTGTGTGACCCACCACTTGAGAATTGTCGTCTTTTTTAAGAACATTTTTTCTTATGTCCATCTTCAAAAACTCTGAGTCCGACTGACAGTTTATTTTAAACATTGTCACAGCTCACAGGATAGGTACCTGTCAGCCAATAAGACAGATGTTTATTTCCATTCAACTCTGGTTGGTCTGGTGTCTTGCCTCTGTCCTCAATCCTGCCGTCCTCTCTAGTGTCATGATGAGGTTCAGGTAAAGCACGGTTAATGTATTATATTATTGACTCAATAATATAATACATGACATTGAGAGTAGGCAATCTAGGCATATTAACACAATTAATTAAACATACTTATCACGGCGACAGTGTAGGCCTACTGAGATCTTTTTTTTTTCTTTTTTTGCTAGGGGGCCCTAAGCGGCCGCTTATGTCGCTTAATGGGTCGGGCCGGCTCTGGTTGACAATAACGGATGTAGCCTTAACAATGACAATGATGAAGGCTGAGCTTAGTCATTTATAATCATTCACCATAAATTACACCAACGATCAAGTCAGAAATCAGAAGTCCAACAGCAAACAGTCAAATAGCATAGTATTTGCAGTGCAATTGCAAAGCAAACATCATAAATCACTAGAGGGCAAACTGTGCAGTGTATCTTTTTAGAAGCAAAGCATTAGACTTTTTAAACTGCAAGGATATAACCTCCTGGGAGGCTGCTGCTTCTTGTTGACAAGGCTTTTTCAATATAGATGAAAAATAAACATAACTATTTCATAAGAGTTATTTTGCCAAGGTGTTATGAAAGAGTAGGATGACCTAACCCTAGCTCTAAAGAGGTTGCAGATTGACACAATGCTTTGAAGAGAAATTAACTGTGTGCCCTGTGAGTAGTGTTTGTCTTTAGTATGTAGTAAGTATGTTTGCCATGGTGTAATGAAATAATGTGTGTGTGTGTGTGTGTGTGTGTGTGTGTGTGTGTGTGTGTGTGTGTGTGTGTGTGTGTGTGTTTGTGTATCACTACTGGCTTTTAACCAAAAAAAAGCAAATCTTTAAAGGTCCCATGTCATGGCCATTTCTACTGATCATAATTCCATTGTTGAGGTCTACTAAAATTGATTTATATTGTGCAATTTTCCAAAATCTCATTGGTTTCTCATACAGCTTCTCTGTATAGTATGTGTATTCACACTATGAGCCCAGTGGCCGTCTGCGAGACAGCGAGACACAGCGAAACCAGCCCGAACACACACACCCGCAGCCTGGCTGGGAGTTTGTGTGTGTGCTCACACACCGACTCACAGCCTCGCCGCGTCCCGCCGTCTCACCCCTAGATTCCACCGGGTCCGTCTGCGCCGCATCACGGCTGTGCCGCGGTTTTGGTCCGACCTCTTCCAGCGTCATAACCCACCGGGCGCGTTTCAGAAGCGGAGCGTATTGCGTGCCGGCTCGCAGTTTCTGTTGATTTGGGCATATTTCCTGGACAGGCTACTTTGTGCAGACAAAGTTAATAATAATTGTAATATTCCAGTTATAAACAACATGAATCAAAGATGTGTTGCTGTATTTTAGTGGTAAAAAAAATCATAATTATTCTATATATATAATTTACACAGTGCCTGTAAACCGGAGGAGAATGCTGGCATTTCTCCTCCTACTTGAAAGACTACGGAGGGATAGGGCCTGAAAATTAGTTTATTTTGGGGATTGACTGGATGCTCTGACCGGTCGCATCGAAAATAGACTTGCATCGGAGCCCAGAGTCCGCGGATTGATCAATTTGGACCAATCCACGGACTTAACGTAACGGCTCCACGGACGTAACGGCTCCACGGACGTAACGTAACGGCTCCACGGATTGTTCCATTTTGACCAATCCACGGAGGGGTTGTCGTTACGTCACTTGGTTCCCGGAAGAAAAAAATTGAAAAAGAAAATCTCCAATGAGGCGTTCTGGGGCAGGTCTTTTCTGTGTTAGAGTTTTACTCGCTACAGGGTGTACTTTGAGAGTTTGTTACCCTGCAGACCGTTTACATGCAGAAAAACCTTCATAACACACAAGTGGACGGGTAATAACCGTAAAAGCATGACATGGGGCCTTTAACAGAGGCACGATGATCCTCAGGCAAGCCGCTTCTTTTCATGCAGAACTTATAACTTACACTAAAATGATATAACAAAAACACTTGATGTTGAGAAAAAGAAACATATTACATTAAAACAATACTTTAAAGCCTATTTAAAAGTAGCTGTATCCTTCCCCTTGTTAACTAGAGTTTCTAAACAGGGGTTAAGAAAAGTTGATCCTGAATCCAACATCTCTGCGATGCTTTTATAGTTTAAATATTCTATCCATTTATCTCCTGAACACCAGTCTGTGTTAACCAGAGCTACTTCATATTCCCAAGATCTTATCAGGTCATTGGATAGTAAAATCTTTATAGTGCAAGGTAGTTTCATATCTAAATTATTTGGGAAACTTCAGCTTCAAAAACCTTGTTAAAGGTTAAAGGAAATATACCTGTGTGTTGAAATATGTACACTAAAACCCCAAAACACTGCTGAGACTTGTGAAACAGGTCAATTCGAGAGGGGAAATAACTCTCACCTGTTTTTATTGGTCACTACTTTCAAACAAAGCACCAACCTAATACAAATTAAGATGCTGTACCATGTATTGCTATATATTGAGGATAAAAAAAGGAACTGAAGAAGTAGCGGAAAAAAGATGGGGAGAAATAAAATTGGCTTCTCTTTAACACGACAAGGAAGAAGAAATTGAATTCTCTGTTACAAGATGCTGTATATAAGATGTAAACGGTATTGCTTACTCTTACTTGTCCCATCAGGGGAGAGTTTACATGTCTTGACTGCAGGCATAACCTTTTTTTCATCACAATTTATTACAAGAATAAGAGAAGCACTTCGGAGAGCTCAGACCAGGAAAGTTTTAGCTTTATACAAATGTATTTACCACTTATTCACAGGGATGATCAATTCTGTTTCTGATTGGCAGCACATTCCTGGGTATAACTCTGTGAGAGATTTAGTGTGGCAAGATATGGAGTCAGTCCACTTTTTCAGAGTTACACATGCAAATTGGTTTGTGTTAGCACCGCTGCCAAACTCCTGTTGCACATAATGAAGTCAGAGACGAGCCGTGTCTCATTTTTATGACTCAAAGTTATACCTGCACTGACAGAAAACACTCTGCCCCAACTTGATGGGATGAGAATTGCAATTCAGCTGCACTTCTAGGTCAGGTCATGCAGAATGAATACAGTAAGGGAAATTCAGCACAGTCAATGTTTAAATATGTGATTCAGCCTTTTTTGCATTCCCCCTGCAAGCTTGAAATCTTGTATAAGTCATGACACATCTGCAAAAGGTTCTCACAACCCTGTTTTTTGTTTGCCTGTGATTAAAAGAATATTTTTGAAAGAGAAAACTGTCTTTTGATTACAATTGGAATAAAGCAAATCCACTTTAAGAAAGTTAAGGCTTTTATTTGATAAAGCAATTGTATTTATGTTATTCTTTAGAAAATAACAGGCTACACTGAAAAAGATGTGTGCTTCGCTATCTTTCTGTATTTGTCTTCGGCCCACTCTTACTGAAGCCTTATATCACAGCATAGCACAGCAATACATTTTAAAAGCACACTTTTCTAACATAAATGGTCTTTCACTCACCATACACAATCATACATATTCAATACTCTATGTCCTCAACCTATGTACGATCTAAACACACATGCATCCCTCCACACACACATGTGAAAGCCATCCATCCCCATTACAAACATTGACACATATCCAGCACCAGTCAATGTCCTGCTCACACAGATCAATAAGCTGTGCTTCAGGCTGTGCTTACATACCACCGAGTGTCACTAGAGCAGAAAACTCCCCAACCTGCTTACATAATCTCATTTCAATTGACATGGCTAGCAACATGTACTGTATGCACATGTGTGTCCGTGTCAACTTGAAAATCAACTTCACCATTAAATCGCTTTTTTTCATGGCTATCTGTGTCAACAGGATGGTAGCTGAGAGCCCTCCCTGACAGGTGGTCTCTGTGTGGCACACAGGTGTGTTTAGACTGTAAGGTTGAGCCCATTTTGAGCAGAAATCTTTGACCTTCGTGTCGTTAATTCTTGCATGCTGCTGCAGCCGACTGTATGGCTGTTGCAGTAAGTGATGTATCAATAAGGAAAAGGGGTGTGCGGGTCCAATGCCCAACAGTTACAGCTCATAGTTTAACTTCATCTATAAAACATTCATATCTGTTTTCAATTGAGCTTGAGGAGAGTCCCTAGGTATACTTTATTTATGATGCTGGCAACAGCAGTGTGCCGGCGCTGAAAAATGAATGAGACATTTGGAAAGACCTTCCTGTGAATCAGCATTTCCCCTCCTCCAGAGCCCTATAATATCTATACGGCGCTGCCCTCCTCCATTCACCGTAAAACAGGACAAGGACAGCAAATAAGCAGTTAGGCTTTTCTGTGAGTGTCTCAAATACACATACAGTATAACAGCAGCATCCCCCAGTTCATCAAGGTCTCAGCAGCAGCTCTCTGTGTTGAATTTCAATGTAGTAGATCTTTTTTTGTGGCGAGATGCCTGGATGCTGGCAGGTCCTTCCCTGGTGGGCCAGTGCAGACTGATGGATATGCTGGAGGCACTTTCCCCTCAAAGGTGTTTATGCGAAACGCTGTGACTGAACAACAGGGAGAAGAACCATGTACATCCCAAGGCATAGCTTCCTGCTGTAGCCAACCAGCATATTACTGGAGGCAACTTCAGCACGTAGAGAGTAATGCTGACAGCTAAGCTTGTACCGTTTTACCTGAACTACTTCATAGTTGCCTGCAGGGAATTTTTTTTTCTCTCACAGGTCAGGCCAAAGGAAGTGTCTTTGCATTAATAGCTATAGTCATATTGGGCTTTCATTACTATTACTAACAGGCCAATGTGGCGGTGCTTTTTCTGACAATGGAATGGGGGGGGAAAAAATCACAATTTGGGTAAAACTGCTCACAACAGATGGGGGTAGAATTTAATTTGAAAGTCTTGACTTTGATGTAAGCAATTGTTTCTTTTCAAATGTAAATGTGTTTACATTTTTATATAATTTGATTGTGGACATGCTGTGCTGATTTTTCACATGTGGTGCTTCTTAAGATTAATGTAAAAGGAAGGGAAATGGTAAAAATAAGAAATGTGGTCACAAAAATGTTTATAAAACCTCTCACCAAATCACTCTCACTTCTTGTTAAGAGGGGTAGTGCAAGCTGTATGTGCTTATCAGCCAAAAAGATCAGAATACTTTTTTCAAGACAATTGTTCATGGTGATGTCACTAAAAACACATGATCACAAATAACCTCACACGAAAGTTAGTTTATCACATTATTAAGATGTGCAAATAAAAAGTAATGGTCTTTCTTCACACACTGTTATGTGATCATGAGTATTTTTGTACCAATGCCTTCAGACAGCCTTCTGGGTGCAACACCTCCCATTAAACACATGGGGGCAGCAGCGCTCCACTGACAGGAGTGAGCTACTACACGTGTAATTTCGTTATTAAATTCATATTCATTTATTGTTTCCATAGTTTTAAAGAATCTACTTGATTTTATTTAGTCATTCATGGTGTAGATAGTGGGTGTTTCAATGTTTTCATATGCCTTTATTTAAAGCTCTTTGAATTTGCCTTAACAAATCACGTGATTCATAATGGAATGTGTGTGCGTAAATTACACTGGCAAGCACATGCAGTCACGTGTGAGAATGACGTATAGTTCTAGTTAATTGTGACGTATTTAGAATTCGAAAACACCAAAGGTAATTCTAGGGTTCTGGAAGGAAAGTGAAGTTCCATTTCATCTTCTGAACCCACAACAGGCAGCAGACAGGACAGAAAGTTATATTAATCCTAGATATATAGATAGATATTCATTTATCTCCGACTACATTTACAGCCAGACTTCTTCATCAAACAGTATTACTTCTTATCATTATTATCATTGCTTATTAGCACAAAGGCCAGACCATATTTATGTGGCTTCGCCCTGAGTGGTCAACATTTTACTATACTAAATAGTTTAAAGGGTCAAAATAAGTAAATTAATATATGATAGCTTTTCCGTAGAAGCAGCTTTTCATCCTGTTTAGATATTGTGTTATTTTCTATCATTGGAACCTTTGAAAAAGCACATTTACAGCTAATAGTAGTTTAACAGTGGTGTTAACTTAAACCAAGGGCAACTACAATATTTGGAGAAGTTGTTTACAGTAGTAAAAGCTCTTTTGTTTGGTTTACAGTCATGTCACGGAGAAGCTCACGATTAGACTCCCAAGGATACTACAACAATGATGGACTACCAATCATTTGCTACAAGGAACACCTGAACAGGTAAGCTAAGGTTTGTGTGAGTGTGTGTGGTGTGTGTGTGTGTGTGTGTGTGTGTGTGTGTGTGTGTGTGTGTGTGTGTGTGTGTGTGTGTGTGTGTGTGTGTGCGCGCAGCGCGCGCGCGTGTGTGTGTGTGTGTGTGTGTGTGTGTGTGTGTGTGTGTGTGTGTGTGTGTGTGTGTGTGCGCGCGCGCGTGTGTGTGTGTGTGTGTGTGTCTACAATTTTCATTATAGATCTTCAGACCTTTAACTTTTTATTTTATTTAAATTACATTCAGGACTGTTAACAGCAGATGTTTGAGGATCTCTTCATGCAGTAGTAGAGCAGAGTCCACAAGCTACCTAGAAAGACACAAAACCAGCACCAGAAACATAAATAATAACATAATAACAAACATGGACAAGAACAGAAAGAGTTACAAAGACAGCAAGCAAATTAGTGACTATGACAGCAACGAAATGAGCGACTCCTACAGAAACGATGTCAACAACACAAGTAGTAACAGACACAGAAACAGCAGGTTCTCCACTATATTCAACCAAAATATGTTTGGCTTTCTCTTCTTCATACTCGTCCTGTATTTTGGTAAGTGTAACAAACAACTCTATCAACTTTAGTTCCTCAGCTTTTTACTTTTATATTTTCTGTCTTTTGAAGAACAAATGTCTCTGACCTGTTTCTTCTATTCTTTGTGTCTCTCCATCTACCAGGATTTGCATGCAGAGAAGAGTTTCTCAGATTAAACAAAGACACAATGACCAACTTCAAGGGTCAAGGTAAGACATTAAAATCATATTTATCATTTTCATTAGCAAACAAACTAGTGACAGTGACAGCAACACAATTAGCAACAGAAAGATTGACAGCTTCTTAAACACTTTCATATTGTCTATCTTTTGAAAATCGTGAAAAAAACCGGTTTCTTTTATGCTTTGTTTCCCTCCATCCTTTAGTAAACACATTGAGTGAAGAGATTCTCACATTAAACAAAGTCCTGAACTCCCTGCAACCGGTGGCGGACACTATGCCCAACTTCGCTCTGGAGAGTCAAGGTAAGACATTAAAATCATATGTATCATTTTCATTAGCAAACAAACTAGTGACAGTGACAGCAACACAATTAGCAACAGAAACATTGACAGCTTCTTAAACACTTTCATATTGTCTATCTTTTGAAAATCGTGAAAAAAACGGTTTCTTTTATGCTTTGTTTCCCTCCATCCTTTAGTAAACACATTAAGTGAAGAGATTCTCAGATTAAACAAAGTCCTGAACTCCCTGCAACCGGTGGCGGACACTATGCCCAACTTCGCTCTGGAGAGTCAACGTAAGACATTTAAATCATATGTATCATTTTCATCTGTTAGATTGTAATATCCAAACATATTTTTAACTTTGAGAACGATTGTATCTCACTCACTTTGTGCGTGTGTTTTTTCTGTGCAGAGGCAAGAGTTTTACTTGATCAGTCTTCACAAACGTACTCCAAACGAAGAAGCTGCGCCTATCTTTTTGGAATGTGTTGTAAACGACCTGTACACCCAAGGACAGTCCTTCAGGTAGGATCTACAAACACCAAAACAAATGGCAAATTATAGAAAGGTTTGGGATTTTTAAGCAACCTACCATCTCAACTCTATTTTTATACTCTTTCTTCACTCAGGGAGGCTCACCCCCGGCTGTAGGACGGTGCTGGCCCTTTGAAGGTGGGCGGGGGCATTTATTCATCGCCCTGTCACACCCAGTCTACATCAGCCATGTGACACTAGGTCACATTTCAAAGAACTTGTCCCCAACTGGCATCATTCCTAGCGCCCCAAAGACGTTTTCTGTCTATGTAAGTCACAAATGTATCATTGTTACATTACAGATGTTCAGTTTAAGTGGGAACAATAAGGTGTTCAACTGTGTCTCTATATTCCTCTCTTGCAGGGCATGAATACTTTAGATGACAAAGGAACCTATCTAGGAACCTTTCTGTATGATCAGGACGGGGACGCAACACAAACTTTTGAGCTACCTGTGAGTATTACACTATGCAATACACACATGTCCATTCTTCTTTTTCACACACAAGCTGAAATATTAAAGGAGTAACAGTTTTGTCATTAAATAATTTGTTTCCCATACTGTCAGTTTTTACTCAACAAGCTGTTTCTGCTCTTTTCTCACATCTCTTAGGATCATGGAAAAGTTGTCTTCAAATACGTGAAACTACAAGTTGAGAGCAACTGGGGTCACCCCGACTACACCTGTCTGTACAACTTCAGAGTTCACGGAAAGCTGGCAGAAGTTACAGACAGGTAAGTATGCATGCATGTACTTTTATTATTATTATTATTATTATTATTATTATTATTATTATTATTATTATTATTATTATTATTATATTATTATCATTATTTTTATTATTATTATTATTATTATTATTATTATTATTCTTATTATTATTTTATATTACCATTATTAATTTTTACCACATTATTATTATTATTACATTATTATTATTATATTATTATTCTTATTTTATTATTATTATATTATTATTATTTTTATTATTATTATTATTATTCTTTTTTATTCTTATTATTTTATTATTATTCTTATTTTATTATTATTATTATTATTATTATTATTATTATTATTATTATATTACCATATTATTATTATATTACCATATTATTATTATTATTATTACCACATTATTATTATATTATTAACACATTATTATATACTGCATATACATTAACATAAATACACCTACAGTTATTTGTGTTTGTTTAGTTACACATTATTAATCAAGAAAATACAATCATTTTTTAAATAAATGATTCAAAATAATGATTGTATTTTGACGCTTTCCGATACCGAGAAAAGAAGAAGACGCTTTCCGATTGTTGATACCGGAAGTGAAATACATTCATATCCGGTGTTAACTATGCGGACGTTAGGCAGCTAACTATTGCTAGTAAGAACAGAGAAAGAAAGCTTCATTCGCCTTTAAAGCGTATATCACAACTATTTCGGTCACCACGAATGGCGTCTCAGATCCCCATCACCGTCCGGGCTCCTCCGGCCGCCGCCATCCCGGCCGCCCCGCGGGGGAAGAAGCGTCCCGCGAGCCCGGCGGCTGGTTCCGCTCAGCCGGTCCCGCTCAGCCGGTCCCCGGGAGCAGCAAGAAGAAGAAAGGGCAGCTGACAGCCACACCAGCGGCGACACAGACACAGGTACAGTGCTACCGTCTGCATGTGAAGCGTGCATCATTGTGCGAAACTCAGAGATCTATATAACGTTTTCTGTGTGCAAGGGAATTCAAAGTAGCTAAGATGCAATGCAAGGGTTTCAAATACTGACAGAGGTGGGAGAAGTACTCCGATCAGAGTTTTACTGTCACAAGTAAAAGTCCCGCAGTTAAAATATAACTCAAGTAAAAGTAAAAAAATATTAGCATCAAAATATACGAAGTACTCATTATGCAGATTAGTCCATTTCAGGATACAATTATGTGTTTATTATATTTGAAATCATTAGTTCAAATCTGCAAAGTAACTAAAGATATTAAATAAATGTGTCAGAGTAAAGGCACACAATTTACCTCTGTAGTGGAGTAGAAGTACAAAGTAGCATACAATGTAAATACTCAGGTAAAGTACAAGTATCACAAAATTGTACTTTGCCAGAATCTACCCAAATGTACCCACCTCTGAATACTGAATTCTCTACCGACACTTGAACCCTCATCGAAAACAAAGAAAAAAGCAGCATATTTTAACGCCAAAGATTTGTTTGTATTGTTTCCTGATAACTGCCTTTAAATGGTTGATCAAAGAAAAAAGAGTTGCTGATTAATTCTCTGTTATGTTTACTACTACTGTTTGAACAAATCATGTTTTTAATAAAAAGATAGCCAAAAAGCAAATATGTACATAAGTGCTGTGTAGTAACAGCTAGAAAGCAATGTCATTAAATTGTATCTTTAAGATTCATGTAAGTGTTTAAAAGTTAAAGTTAAAATCAAATATTTTTAATTCTGTGTTGTTTCTGTTGTTGTTACTCTTGTTGTCTGATGTCCTCTTTCATGCTTCATCAGATAACAGCAGCAGAGTCGGTGGCGGAGGTGAAGGCAGTGGGAACAGTTGAAATCGCTCCAAATGTTCTCTCAGAGTCAACAGCGAAGCCTCCACCGTTCAAAGACCCCGCCTTCGTGGTGAGTGTCCGCGTCCATGTGGGTTTAAATTCATCTGCTGCTGAGGCTCTTCCCTCACTGTCTCTGCCCCCTCTCTTAATCTCTGCAGCATTCTGGGATTGGTGGAGCAGCAGCGGGTAAAAAGAACCGGACCTGGAAAAATCTCAAACAGATTCTGGCTTTGGAGCGGACTTTACCCTGGAAGCTTGATGATCCCAACTGTATGTTTTTATATCTTATAATTTCATGTTGCACACTTTTATCAAAAGTACACTACCAGTCAAAAGTTTGGACAAATCTTCTCATTCAAAGTTTTTTATTAACTAGATAATTCCATATGTGTTCTTTCATAGTTTTGATGTCTTCAGTATTAATGTACAACGTAGAACAACATTAAAATAAACAAAAAGCCATTGAATGAGAAGGTGTGTCCAAACATTTGACTGGTTCTGTACATGAAACTGAATCTTTTTTGTGGTGTGGTGGTTTTGAAAAAAAGTCAAAGCTGTGCTATATTATTACATAAATTACGAAACTGCACAGAAAAGTCTACAAGTAATTAAATGTAAGACCTCTGTGTTCACAGACTACAGCATTGAGGCCCCTCCCTCCTTGAAGCCAACCAAGAAATACTCTGACATCTCTGGACTCCCTGTGAGTTATCACTTTACTAAAATACTCACTTTACGATAAACAAAATCACTTTTAAATCTTCTCTGAAGCACACACTGAATACGCTCTCTTTTTCCTCAGGCAAACTACACAGACCCTCAGACAAAGCTCCGCTTCACGTCCTCTGAGGAGTTCTCCTACATCCGCCTCCTCCCCACTGATGTAGTGACCGGATACCTGGCCCTTCGAAAGGCAACATGCATCGTCCCCTGACAGCCGAGCAAGACTTGAAGAGTGAAATACATTTAAACCCGAGCTGAACTCATGTTTGTGTTTGAGCTGTCGGGCCTGCAAGGAACCAATGAGAGCGCTGTCTCCACAGAGAGGACACGGAGAAGTGCACTTCTTAAATGAACAGCTGGTGCCACCAAACATTTGCACAGCTGTTTTAGGAAAGGCTTTAACTTATTATTCAGAGTTACTGTGTGACAAATAAATGCAACAAATAGTATACTTTATTTGAATGCTTATTCTCTTTACGAGACATGTTTGTTGTCTGTAGCTGGATATCATAATTTCACTGTGAGAGAATGTATGACAAGTGTTATCTTTAATGATATTTGTTCCCGATACATTTGAAAGCTTGATGTGGATTTGCTCCTGCTAAATCACATGGAATTACAGGATGCTGTGCGCCCCCTTGTGGTAGAACATTCAGGGGGGTAACAATAAAAAAAGCTGTTGGAAGAAGTTTGCCCATTTTAGAATGATTGTTACTTTTTACAAGTAGCTCATTGAACTTTACTTGAATACGTTTGATTTCAGTTTATCTCTTATTCATCTGTGTTTTCTAATATGTTTTGTATGAATAAATATTTCTAAGTGATACATTTAGAAAAATCGATGTCTGTTCCAATCTCAATGTTGCTTTTATGACAGCCTTTAATAACATTGGTTTGACAATGATATCAAACACTCCTCTGTGTTAAGGGCCACATCTACTGCTGTACATTTGTTTAAAACGCAGTGGCCTGCATCTATGTAAACTATGAACATGTAGCAGGCTAAGCCAAACCTTAATGAGCCAAGAGTCACCAAGCAGTCCTAATTCACATGCGTCATATGTAAATGTAAATTAGTTCCACATGGTTCTAATTCCCCGGCTGCGTTTGATGGATGATTTGCTCTCCGACTGGTACAGTGAGGATGTCTCATTAATCACACATGGCAGGCATCCAGGATAATTTCCATGGTACATTTTACGCTATTTTCACACACTTGATGAATGAGGACCATTGTATTACACATGTGAGCCATCCCTATAATGCTAACGAAGAATAAAAGAGCCGGCACAATTATCGAGGATCACGAGCTTGTGAATATAAACAAGCAAAATCATTCATAACCGCAGCCACTCTTACCACTGAGCTATGAATCCCTTTTTGTTGAAATAGGTTTGATAAATGTGCCATTTTAGTTTACAATTCTTTAGCTTCTGCTATTCTTTTTTTGATGCATTCTTTACACAGTCCCCGTGAAAACAGATCACCTTGTATCTTTGTTCGAAATACATCATCTATATTTGTTACCTATACATCTTTTTAATGTGCCATAAGATCCCATTGTTCCCAAAAGCATATATGATTAATTGTGCAGTGGACCAGGCTTTACCCATGCCTGAGTGTTACTTCTCCCAGCGCTGGACTTAGTTGCAGCTGATGAAGGCAGTATAGTATATCTATGAGAGTCAGAGCAGCATTTCCATTCCTGCTGTGGCATCAAAACCTCAACATAGTGATTAATGAACAGTGCCAGGGCTTTCTGCTACTCAAGCAGATGACCTGCTGGAATGTGTCTGCAAGCATGGCATGTGTGTGTGTGTGTGTGTGTGTGTGTGTGTGTGTGTGTGTGTGTGTGTGTGTGTGTGTGTGTGTGTGTGTGTGTGTGTGTGTGTGTGCATGCGTGTCTGTGTGTGTGTGCTTTATAGAGAACATTTTCTTTGTTTCCTTTAAAGAAAGTGTACAGTTGTAATATTTAAATGTGTGTTTGTCTCCTGGGCTAAAGTCAGGATCAGGTTAGGGTTATGATTCTACGATTAATGGTTACTATTTAAATGTTGTGATATACACAGGTATATATGCCCTGTTTGGGTGTCTATGTATGAATGCTAACTGCATACTATTGCCATATTTAGTCTATCAACTACAAAAAAACATAAAATGCAGTATATGAGTGGTTTCTCACTCATTACGCAGCAACAACAAATCCTGCATACCTGTCTTTTCAGTCCCAATGTGTCACCACCAGGGTGTATCAGAGCTCTACTCAGTCTGCCGTCCTACCTAAGATAAGACTTTATAGTTTTTTTCAGTTGCTAACACACTAAAATCTCACCTAAAGCACAATAATTTAAACTCACACTCAAAGAGCAAAACCTGAGCTCAAATCTCCAAAATTCTAAACACATGTTCAGCTCTGCACCCTATTTGCAATTCAACTTGGCACTTTTTGTTGTGTCTCGTCAAATGTCTTAGTTATGTTTATGTATTTTGTCTCTCATTTCCTGTTTTATTTTGTATATACCTCAGGCCCTGTTTCTTCCTCCCCGTGTGTGTTTTTCCCGCCATCATCAGTGTCTGCCCCGCCCCTGATTGTTTCCACCTCATATTTAAATAGTCCTGTCTCTCCCCTGTCCTGTGTCAGTTTGTCTTGTTTGTTGGATGGTCGTGCCAAGCTTCAACTAAGAAAGGATCTGGAATTTTACAGGTTAATTATGAGTCATATTATACATAGTGCCACCAGCTGTTAACAGGAAGTCAACCCTATGTGACAAACATCCTCTGATTACAGTAATGGTCCATGAGCAGAATTAGAGCAGCAAAGGGGATCAATCAGTAACAAAAGCACATATAATAAATCGGAAGCTGGTCAAAAGTAAAATATATCAGTAGACAGACTTAACGGTTGAATTCACATGTTCATTATCGCCATGCTGAGCGTAGTCGGTGTCCCAGTCACACAGGGAGTCAGTCAAGTCACATGAGTGTAAACATTTCTGAGCAGAATCTTAAAAATATCCACAAAATGTGATCATATTCAATCCTCCGAGCGCAGAGAGCCTCCAGCTTCCATGCATCAGCAGGTGATTGATAAAAACAACCAACCAGTCATAGATCAAGGGAGCGGGCTAAATTACAATATCATTTATAAATATAATAAATATTCCTTTTATATTTTAGCTGACACCCTTTCATAAAAGTAATAAATAATATCTATAATAAAAAACAGCACACTGATTTAAACAGGCCCATGATTAAATCATTATGAATTATGACTTTGGAAAACAGAAATGAATCTAAGCAATTAAGGACTACAGTTCAATCCTATAATAACAATCATTACAAATTGATTGTAGTGTGAAGAAAATCTTCCTTTGATTGATGATGTGGCACCTGCTGCATCTCGCAGGATGTGTGTTTTCAGAGTACGCACACACAGACTGCTGCAATCAACAAGCTACTTCTCCGTTAATGTTGTTTGCTATACTTTGCTGAACCTCTGCAGGCGAGTTTCTCCGACTCCTGGGAGATGCACTGTGTAGTAATGTCATCCTGGTGCTCATTTAGTTCCTGTTTGCCCTCGGGTTTTTGTCACTGTCACATTTTAGCGATAATGGAGATGGCATCTGTGCTGTAGGAAGCCTCCAGACAATGATCATGTATTTTGTTTCACTTCCCAGTACATGCAATTTCTTTTCAGAACTGCTGTTCTCCTGTGACATTGGACCTACTGACTATATACATACAGCTACAGCAACATCATTTTTTGTATTTGGTGGACAAGCCCATTTGTGAAGCACATTTGACTTTGCTGATGTTAAAGGGGACCTATCATGCAAAATGCACTTTTTGATGTCTTTCTTTATACATAAATATGTGTCCCCGGTGTGTCAGGGAACTCACAAGTGTAAGAAATCAAAACCCTCTCTCTTTTCCTCCGTATCTACATATCTAAAAATGGGGGTACAACGGAGCTGATCCAGATTTGCATCCCATATGACGTAATATCGGAAATGCGGACCCACGGCACTATCAGAAACGTTGCTATCAGAAACAATGCCCGACTGTTTTGGACGTAATATGGTCTTTGTTTACATTAGCATCACTAACACTCAGAGCTAACCTGTACTGGAGAGAGCGTGTGTAAAAAAGCAGGAAATAATCCTTTCAGAAATAATCCTTGATGTGGTTTGGAACATGATATGGCATTTAATCATGGCAGCATTTAGCTGTATCCCGTAGAATTCGGAGCAGGCACAAGCTCCCCCTCCCCCTTTTTTATTTTCAAGCTAAGGACCCAGATCAACAATTCTATAACAGGGCTTAAATAGAGGGATATGAGGGATGTCTAAAATGCATGATCTGTTTGATATTTTGAGCAAAACACATCATAGACATGTTTTTAATATTTTTTTTATATATCTGAGACCTATAATATATGCCTAAAAATAGCATGATAGGAGACCTTTAAGCGACTAGTTTAGATCCATGACGTCATTGTCCAACATGACTCAGCGTGACATCACATCTAAGGAGAAGTTGTCAATGATGTATGGACATACAAAGACAAGTCCTACAGTTGGGGAACAATTGTTGATAGGAGCCATGATGCATTACTCATCTGACATGTCTTACTTCCTACAATATATGAGAGGAATTCACGAGAACCACCCTCAAATGTCAAGTCAGAGAAATGGACTGCACCCCCAGCTCTGGTAAACTGATCGATAGACCAACTCCAGATCCTGCTGAGCCAGCAGGGGAACTTTCATATTTATGTTTTTGACCTATTGGCAACTCAACTTCTTTGCTCCCTGTTAACAAAGACATAACACTTGGAATTTGTTAGATGCTACAACACTCTATAACATATTTTGCTACTGTGGTTCAGGCACAATGTCTAGGATTGAAGTATGATTAAACTAAGTGGCGACGTTTGGGTGATCTTAAATAGCTCGCTTCAAGGTTTTTTTCATTATAGCATAATGTCTTTTTTGTAAATGATGTTCATTTAAAAAGTATAATAAATCATAAATCAGGGTATGCTTTAAGACGTTGCTTCCTTTGTGGTTAACATGCTGCTACCTTGCTACCTACCAATGGGTAACGTCACAATCACTACGTCCAATTGCTATTAACAGCATATGCATCGATAACCTAGCTAAAGAAAAACATCAGCATTAGACATATAGAATGGCCAGATTTGTATTTGTTTCAAGATCTTCCCCATGGTTGTGCAAAAACATGTATCAAGCTCAGAGAAGTTGATATCCCGGAAATCCATATATGACACTCAAAGCAGAATATTTCCACTCATCACAGCGGGTGGCAGCATGCAGGAAGGTGTGAAAAAAGGGACTCTCCAGTTCTGGTCTCCACAAACCTCACATAACATCCGCGTTAACGATGGGAAAGCCGTCAGAATCTCAATCAAGTTCTGATCAGATCTGTGTCGAGGTGACAGAAGGACTCTCCCTGCACCGCCACTCCATGTTTCTGAATCACAACCGCACAGATGGTCTTCATTACACAGCAGGATATGAATATACCTGCAAATGCAATATTTTACTGTCTGCATTATTTGCGTTGAATGTCTTGTACCAAGGAGTGCTCATACTTCATGATTCTCTTGTTCCATACAATCTCTGTATTGTATTCATTATTTTTATTTTTATTGTATGCTTTTATTTGCATGCATTGCATTCTGTGTGGTAGGTTAAAGCATTTTACTCAAAAATATAAAGTATATCAGTTTTCTTTTGCATTGTATCATGGTTTAGTTTATTATATTTTCAAGAGAACTAATAAGTTGCATCTCTGAAAATGTCAAACTATTCTTTTAAAGTTTGTTT